GATAGTTTTTCATCTATCTTCATGCATTATATGGTTTCGACTAAAATTAGAATACAAACAAAAAGTGAACAAACCCCCAAAAGGCAGAAAAACAGATGATATTTCACTGAGTGCAAGAATGTGCAAAGCGTATGCTGAACGAAGCAACCTCGAGAACACATGGACGCCATTTCTGAACTTCTCGTCCGTATCTCATTAGTATTCGTGTGTGCGTCCCCGGCCGTGTGTGTGTATGTGTGTTGAGTGTGAGCGTGGGCATGAGTATGTGTCAGTATTGAAGTACGAGTATGTATTTCATGTATGTATTTGTAATCGTGTGTTTATGTAAGCAATCATGATTTTTACGTGTCTTTAACAAATTTCCATGACATGACTAAGCACTACTACGGTGATATGTACGGAAGGGCGTTCTGTTGTGGGCGTGGTCAAGATCGTGGGGAGGTTGTTCTGTGACGAGTATGAAGAGTCTTTTTTTTTATTATACTTCTTAAGGATATAGATGAAGGTAATTAGCTCTTATTAGATATATTTGATGCCATATCGTCTCAAACGTGACTCTGATACAAATTTTTCTAATTGAGTAAATAGAAAGACGATAAAAAACACGGCTTTGCAATGATTCATGTAATTCCGGTAATTCTGCAACTAATGTTCACTTCTTAATATTTCCGATTTTTATCTCTTCCTTCCTCTTTTCGCCTTGGTTTATTTATTTCCATTGATTTATATATCTATTTATTCAGTTTTATTACTTTGTTTTCATGTTTCTATATTTATTCTCTTCATTATCTCCAAAGACATGCGGGAATGGAGGTAAGAGAGAGAGAGAGAGAGAGAGAGAGAGAGAGAGAGAGAGAGAGAGAGAGAGAGAGAGAGAGAGAGAGAGAGAGAGAGAGAGAGAGAGAGAGAGAGACGGGTTGGCAGACAACAAACAGACAGACAGACAGGCAACAGACAGGCATGGAAAAGAGCCAGACAATACTTGAATACACATACACTCAGAAAGGAAGAGAAAGGCTAAAGAGAGAATGATGTAGCATTGTCTCGATCGCCCCAGTTCATGACCATGCATATAAGCACTTCCGCCAGAGGGCTGCCATGGTTTTCTCTACGTCATGTCACGTCGCCATGCACAGTTGCCATGGACAATCACAAGCGGCAATCGGGTTCTGATGTCAGAGCTATCACAAAATACAACCTGTACTTTGGCGATTTGATACATCATGATTTACAGAGAGCGAATGCAGTTCTGTTGCATTCAAAGCCTGTTTTATTTATAGTCATATTATTTTCAGACACAAACTGATAACTGGATTTTGATGAAATGACGATAACCCCTTCATTTGCGTCGCAGAGAGTGAGACTGACGAGGCATTCTTCATTTCGATTCATATAATTATAAATACATACACATAGAGATCAATAGAGACAAAGAGAGGGGAGAGGAGAAAGAGAGACAGACACAGACAGAAAGAGGGAGAGATTGGGAAGGACAGAGAGAGAGCGAGACAAACAGAGATTCTTAAGAGGCCCACAGGACAGACTTTCCCAAAGCTCCAAACAACAGGAGCCATTGGCAGAGCCCGATAGCGGAAGGGCCCGTGGAGAGACACATCGTAGGATATGCCCAGGCGGGGGGGCATAAGGGAAGCTCCCCTGGTTGTTCTCCTTCACGCTCCCCTTCCTACCCCTCTCCTCTTCCCCTTCTCCCTCTTTTCTTCCCCACCTCTCCCCTCATTTCCCTCGTCCTCCCTCCTTTCTCTCCTCCCCCTCCTCTCTCTCGTCCCCCCTCCTCCGTTCTCTCCTTCCTCCCCCTCCTCTACCCCTCATCTCCCTTTCGTCTCCCCCCCTCCTCTCCCCCGCCGATGGAGAGGGTCGAGGGGAGCCCAGAGCCGGATGCTGGGAGGAGAGGGCGCTGGGAGACGAAACCAATCCATCTCCGGAAGCTGTCATCCTCGAGGGCCGCAAGACGCTTCCTCGCCGGGCGTTGTCTCTGAGGCCCGGACGTCGGCTGTCGGCCGGAAATTGTCTCGAGTTAAACACTTACCCGAAGGAGTCGGCTGACGGGGGCTTGGGTCGGGTCTGTCGCATGCCGGATGCACGCTGATAGCGGTCGATGGCGCTGGGCTTGTTGTTCGAGTTATGGGTGTAGTTGTCGTGGTTAATTAGCCCGTAATTGATTCATCATAATTGCAATTAGTCACTGATGACGATAGACAGTTAATGGTGACACAATTATTGTTTGACAGTATTCATTGTTGCAGTTGCAGTCATCGGTGGTTGATAGTCCTTGATAACACGTAGTCAGCAGCTTTTGTTACGTTGTGGTTCGTTCTTGATGACGGATGTAGTTATTTGTCGAGGCTAGGCGAGGCGACGTAACTTGCCTGCCAGTGACGGGCAAGTGACAAATTGTCAGTCACCGCGAAATTGAGCAACTGATCTTTCCATCGTCTCAACACGGGATCCAACCGTATTAAATTGTGTCAATAACCAAGATAATGCCCTTGGTATATCCTCAGCTTGTATTTATTTGTCTGATTCTCTTCGCCGGAAGCCTTCTCATAACGCCACTCTTTGTAACGACTTCTTTCCTCTTTATTTCAGGTAATTTAGTGACTATCGTCGCCCTCAGCAGGAGTGTCAAGTTAAGGGTTCACGCCACCACCGCCTTCGTCATCAGCCTGTGCGTCTCGGACTTACTCTTCTGCTCTATCAACCTCCCACTCACCGCCTCCAGGTAAGCGCCGCCCCTGTGAGATCCTCACGAGCCGGGCTATCATATTAGTTTCAATTAATTAAATCCAGCCGTTAATATCTGCAGATGAACAGATGTGAATGGAATGGATGAAGTTGTCGACTAATAAGTCTGAAATCTATCCAGTAGGCCTATACAGTTTATACAGACAAACAAGCAGGTTGATATACAGATACACTGACATTTTGAAAATGATTTCCCTTTTCGTTACGAATAACCACTTCCTTCTTCTCGTTCCCCAGGTACATCCACGAACAATGGGTGCTTGGAGACGCCCTCTGTAAGATCTTCCCCTTCTTCTTCTACGGCAATGTGGCAGCATCACTCCTCAACATGGTCGCCATCACTATCAACAGGTAACGACGAAATCCGGCCATTATTATTGGGCGAAATAATTGAAACGTTAGTAGGTATTTATAAGTAAACGTGATTTGTGAAAGAAAGAGTAATAGGTAGGTAGGTAGAGAGATTGAGAGCAAGAACAACCTTCCCCCCCCCCCCCCCTGATGTCCCTCGCACTCACCCCCCCCCCCCCTTTGGCCCCCGCAGATACATCCTCATCGCCCACCACGGCCTCTACGACCGTGTGTACCGCCGCCGCTACATCGGGCTGATGATCGCCTTCGTGTGGCTCTTCTCCTTCGGGATGATGGTGCCCCCGCTGGCCGGCGTCTGGGGGAAGCTGGGGCTGGACCCTCCTTCCTTCTCCTGCACCATCCTCAAGAACAACGGCTCCTCGCCCAAGAAGTTCCTGTTCCTGTTCGGCTTCCTGCTCCCGATGGTGGCCATCATCGGCTGCTACTCGGCCATCTACTACAAGGTGGGTTGACCCGAACGCGGCTTTCGTGCTGGTTCGTTTGTGTTATCTGGGCCAGCAGTCTTGCGGAATTCGCGTCTGGCGCCGCCGCCACATATTGGCACGCGCGTGCATTCGCCACACGCATTAAATTCAGATGGGTCTCACCGCCTCCCTCCCTCCCTCCCTCCCCCGCAGGTCCGCCAATCACGCCTGAACCTCGCCGCCCACAGCGCCAACAGCGCCACGCCGGGCGCCAAGACGAACTCGTCCGCGTACGGCGCCCAGACGGCCCGCAAGGAGGACCTGCGCCTCACCAGAATGATGCTCACCATCTTCCTGTGCTTCCTCGTCTCCTTCCTGCCGCTCATGATAGTCAATGTCGCCGACGATGACGTAAGTCGCTCTCATGATGACGCTGGCAACAAAAACTCATGATTATAATGATCTTTCTTGTTTTGTTATTGTTTATATTATTATCATTGTTCTTTAAACATGAAGAGCAGTTATAACTGGTTCGACGAAGGTCCTTAATGATTTGTTGCTCTCGCTGCCGCAGGTTGCCGTGCCCTCCCTGCACGTGCTGGCCTCCGTTCTGGCCTGGGCCTCCGCCGTCGTGAACCCCTTCGTGTACGCCGTCACCAACCGCAACTACCGCACGGCCTACCGGAAGTTATTTTGTACCCGGCGGAGCAAGCGCGCGGGTCGGGCCTCAAATTCGCATTCCAAAAGCAACTCGTCACGCACTTTCATTACTGACTGCCAATACCACGCCTCGACGGGACAGGTCACCAGCCCCGTCCTCAATTGCCCTTCCCCTGAGGTGTGAGTCCAGCCCGCCGAACCTGGCCTCTCCTCGCCCTGGGCCGCCCCCAAGCACGCCGCCGCCGCCGCCCGCGGTGCCTGGAGGGGCATCTCTGCCGCAGCAGGCCACGACGTCGCTTGGACTTCCGCGTGATGACCCCGGGTCGCCCTCCGAGACGGCAGAGGCGGAGACACCCTTCAACAGAATCGAAAATAGGTCATCCCCGACGCCCTCCGTGATCCCCCCTTCTCTTTCCCCTCCTTCTCCTGCCCCTCCTTCGTCAGACGAGGCTGCAGAAGCCATGTCCTCGTCACAGACCCCTGAACCTGGCTCTCCCAGACTCATCTACAAACTCAGGTTATCCTCTCTGCTGGAGGAACTCGACATTCCGTTCCTGACGGAGAAGCTGAAGGCGTCAGTCTCCACGCCGGGCCTGGGCCTCGAGCCGCCGGCAGCAACGTCAAACCACAACAAGCGGCCCTCGAGTTTCATGTCGCCAAGGAGACTCCCACCCTTCCTCGGCACATCTGCTTCATCGTCGTCGTCCTCCAGCGGGGAGATCGAGGCCGGGACGCCTTCGCCTGCGGCGGCGTCCTCACCAAAGTCGTCGGCCACAGTGTCAACGACGTGCGTCATCGTCC